CCCCCCCCCTTTCCCCCACCTAGTCCACGTGAAGTTTACAGTTAAAATATTTGACGCCTAAATGTTGTAAAAATATTAACTGTGCTTCGATTTCTCTCGATTTTTCAATACGTTTCTTTCTTTTTCTGTCGCCATAAAGACGCCTATGGTCAAAAGCTGTTTGCCGATGTATGCAAAAGACGTGAGTTTGACTCCCACGTGGGGAAGCTTATTGTTATCGTGAATATATTCGTCTGTCTGCTGAGATGCTGTATCCCAACCAGCCTGGGCCAAAGCAACAACTCGTTTCTTAAATTATATAAACAATGCCAATTAATTAATTAAGTTAATTAAAGCCAAGCAAATGAAGGCCAAACGATACAGTATTAGCAGAGTGCGCTTGACACCACGCCCCGTGCCCTACACGGAGCTCAATTAATGGTGCGCTCCATTCCATAGGTACCCGTAAATACGCCTGAGCGCACTGTCTAGGATAAAATAAAGTTGTTCCCGCATCAGATCCGGACATTGGGGATTGCCTTGTTAGGGAGCAACTTCCTGGGCCTTCGGCATATTGTGGTAAGGTGGCCAGTTCCTTTCCATGCCGCCTTTACTTCCCCAACTCGAAGTCAGATACCCATTACTGCTGGGTGGGCAGAAGGGGGCAAAAAAAAATCCTGGTCCGAACCGAGGCTTGAACCCGGACTAACCTCTCGGCCTCCGCACCCTACTGTCTAGGATACGATGGTATAATACACATTTATGGCTAAAACGAACAACGACCCATCATCAACTGCTGGTCAGTGACATTGACAGTGTCATCATAGGGCGAGGCTAATATGTAACACATTAATCTTTTTTTTTGCGCTCTGAAATTCTTTTTTCTTTGTTAGTTTTTCTTGAGCGAAACAACTGACGCCATCTTGCGTGGTAGAAAATAGACACGCATTCTCTCTCCAAAACTAAAAAGCAAACAACCTCAACAAAATATCGGGTATTTTTCTGTAGAAATCCAAGCGAGAATAACTAAACTGGAATCGACCCAAAAGATTCTTTTGGTTGGATTATTTGTCTCTCTTAATCTGGGGAGGGGGTGGGGGGGGGATGCTAAGCTGAGCTGGTTTCATGCTGGATTACAGTGACCCTGGTTCGAATAACCAATTAAACATTCTCGAACTCGTCGTTTGGGAAATGTTCAAGGCTCTCCTCCTGCTGCACTCGGCCCTATCGGAGATGGACGATAAATCTGTTGGTTATGCCTCTTTAATAACTCTGCAGTGTTGAAGGGGGCTACTGGTGCAATTGCATGATTATTATTTTTTTTGGTTCCGATTCAACAAAATCGAACGAGCTTGAGCCCTGCTTTACGGTATGACAAAGCTGGCATCAAGCTATTCTGAGCCAAGTGAGCCCTGTGGATTAAAAGTCTTTATCATTTGATCCTCTTGTCTTTATGTCTGTCTTCTGTCTTGATTTTATGTTTTTGTTTTGTTTGGTTTTGTTTTTCTCTTTCTGTCTGTCAGTCTCTCTTTCTCTTTTTCGTTAGTTTGCTCTGTTTCTGCCAATCAGTCAGTCGTTCTTTCTCTTTCTGCTTGTCTGTTTCTCTCTCTCTCTCTCTCTCTCTCTCTCTCTCCCTCTCTCTCTCTTTCTTTCTCTCTCTCTCTTTCACACATACACAAACACACACTCACACACACTCGCACACACACACACACACAC